AGCAGGAAAGCTGACGTTTCGTCTAGGCCCAAAACGTCAGCCTTCCTGCTCCTATGATGCTGCTTGGCCTGCTGTGTTCATCCAGCTCTACACCTTGTTATCTCAGATTTTCCAGCATCTGCAGTTCCTACTATTTCTGATGCAGGTAGCTGCCTTAAAGGTAAACCCTGTTTCTCTCCATAGAGGATCTCTGACATTGACAGTGTTTATTCTAAACCTCTCCCATCCTACAGCAGATAGACAACTCCTGTTTGTGGTTGGATAACTCTGGGAAAGACGGTCAAAGGGGGAGCAGCGGGAGCGTTGCTGTGGAAGTTTTAATGATTGTGAATGGTGTGTTTTGTTTCCCTGCAGTCTATTTGAACACTATTGCTATACTCGAGGAGGGATGCGTCACACTTCATACACGTGTATATGTGGCAGGTAAGAATCTGTCTGAAATGCTGCGTTACTCGGAAAGTTCCTCCGTGTCTATTGGAGGACGGGCGTTGAGGCTGTGCTGCACTGTCAGATGGCAGGCACCTACGGGGGCATCCAGGCCAGAGCTCTACACACCTACGGGATCTAACCAAGGCTCAGTGCCTCTGGAATACAATTTCTTTTTAGTTCCAGCACCTTTTTCGATTGGATAGACTTTTTTGATGACTTATTTTTATTCAAGTGGGATGGCGTCACTGCCTGGACCATTTATTGCCCGTCCCTCGCTGCCCTTGAGAAGGTGGGGGTGAGCTGCCTTCTTGAGCCGCTGCAGTCCATGTGCTGTGGATTGACCCACAATGCCCTTGGGGAGGGAATTCCAGGATTGTGACCCAGTGACAGTGAAGGAATGGCGATATATTTCCAAGTCAGGATGGTGAGTGCTTGGAGGGGAACTTGCAGGGGTTGGTGTTCCCATGTATCTGCTGCCCTTGTCCTTCTAGATGGAAGTGGTCGTGGGTTTGGAAGGTGCAGCCTGTGGATCTTTGGTGAATTTCTGCAGTGCATCTTGTAGATAGTACACACTGCTGCTACTGAGTGTGGGTGGTGGGGTGGGGGGGAATGGATGCTTTTGGATGTGGAACCAATCAAGTGGTTGCTTTGTCCTAGATGGTGACATGCATCTTCCTATGTGTCAGGTATGACTCCAACCAGCAGAAATTTTGCCCTGTGATACCCATTGATTCCAGTTTTACTCGGGATCCTTGATGCCACACTTGGTCAAATGTAGCTTTGATATCAAGGGCTGTCGCTCTTTTGAATCATGTTTGAACCAAGGCTGTAATGAGGTCAGGAGATGAGTGGCCCTGGTGGAACCAAACTGAGCCGGTTACTGAGCAGGTTATTTCTGAGCAGGTGCTGCTTGATAGCACTGTTGGTGACACCTTCCATCACTTTACTGATGATCGGGAGGAGACTGATGGGGCGGGAATTTGGCTGGGTTGGATTTGTCTCTGGATTAACAGTCCAACAGTAATACCACTCGGCCATTGCCTCCCACTGTGGCCATTGCATTTCCTCTGAGAGTGGCCCTGGTGGAACCCAAACTGGGCGTCACTGAGCAGGTTATTGCTGAGCAGGTGCTGCTTGATAACACTGTTACTGACACCTTCCATCACTTTACCAATGATTGAGAGTAGACTGATGGAACAGTAATTGGTCAGGTTGGATTTGTCCTGCTTTTTATGTACAGGACATATCTGGGCAATTTTCCACATTCTTGGGCAGATACCAGTGTTGTAACTGTACTGGAACAGCTTGGCTCGGGGAGCGGCAAGTTCTGGAGCACAAGTATTCAGTACTATTGCCAGAATGTTGTCAGGGCCGGTAGCCTTTGCAGTATCCAGTGTCTCCAACCGTTTCTTGATATCACGTGAAGTGAACTGAATTGGCTGAAGACTAGTATCAGTGCTGCTGGGGAACCACTGGAGGACGCAGAGATGGATCATCCACTCGGCACTCCTGGCTGAAGATTGCTGTGAATACTTCAGCCTTCTCTTTTGCACTGATGTGCTGGGCTCTTCCATCATTGAGGATGGGGATATTTGTGGAGCCTCCTCCTTCAGTGAGTTGTTTAATTGTCCACCACCATTCACCACTGGATGCAGAGCTTAGATCTGATCGGTTGGTTGTGGGATCACTTAGCTCTGTCTGTCGCTTGCTGCTTATGCAGTTGGCATGCAAATAGTCCTGTTTGGTAGCTTCACCAGGTTGAATGCTCCTTTTCAGGTATGCCTGGTTCTGCCCCTGGTATGCCCTCCTGCATTCACTGTCAAACCAGGGTGTCACCCTGGTTCAATGGAAATAGTTGCGTGGGGCCATGAAGTTACAGATTGTCCTGGCCCACAGTGCCTCATGGATGCCCAGTCTTGGGTTTGCTAGATTTGTCCCATTTAGCACGGTGATAGTGCCACACAACACAATGGAAGTTATTCTCAATGTGAAAGCAGGACTTTGTCTCCACACTTACTGATACTGTCATGGACGAATGCATCTGCAGCTGGCAGGTTAGTAAGGATGAGGTCAAGTATGTTTTTGTAGCTGTGCAGTGTTTAGGAATTTGTGTAGCTGGGCATCCTTGCCATTAAGGAGTATTTGTGTTGATGATTATCAGATTCACCTCCCAGTTGTTGGAACCGTGCTGTGGGATTCTGTCTATTAGTATTTCAGCTCACCTCCCCTGCTTAGTGCTGGTGCCCATGGTCCTTTTGCACCACCAGGTGCTGCACTGATGGAGTGTCAAGCTGTCCCTCCCTGCTCTGGTCCTGTATATCCGCTGTCCCTCCATGCTGGAACCCAGCAGCAGCAGCAGAATCCACTGATGTGGAGGATGTAACGTGAGCCTGAAGTCACTGTAGTCAGAGTTCAGGCTCGAGGGCTGTGGGAGAAAGATCCTCCTTCTGTAGCTGCTGTTGAGTTTGATTAAAACAGTTCAGAATGCAAAAGGGAGGAGGTAATGAGAGGTGGACCCACAGGTAACAGAGTCACAGTAGTATGAAGAAAGATAGACTGAATTTGTGTCCCTCCTTTTGAAACCCCTGTATCTCCCATGCTGTCTCACCAATGAAGTGGTGTGTTTACAGTTTAATCACTGTTTGTATTGTTGCAGCTAACCAGTGCACAGCAAGCTCCCACTAGCAACCCAAGAATACCAATCTGCTTTCTCAATGATGATTGGTTAGTCACTGTGTGTGTGTGTGAGAGAGAGAGAGGCAGTGTGAACAGTGTTCGTTCTGACATGGAAGGCCTTGGGGCCAGTGCATCTCCAGAGAGCTGAGCACAATCGTCAGGCTGACTCCAGTGTAGTATTGAGGGATGCTGCACTATTGGAGGTTTCAGATGAGACTTTCAATTGAGACTCCACCTGAAATCAATGGGCATGAAAGATGCTGTGGCACTGATTGAAGGCCAATGGAGGGATTAGACCTGGTGACCAGAAATTATAAAAAGACCGAGGCTCCTTCGACAGCACCTTCCCAATCCATAAACTCTACCATCTAGAATCTGGACCAGGGCAGCAGATACATGGGAACACCACCCCCTGCAAGTTCCTCTCCAAGCCACTCACCATCCTGACTTGGAAAAGTATCGCCGTTCCTTCACTGTCGCTGGGTCAAAATCGTGGAATGCCCTCCCTAAGGGCCTTGTGGGTCTACCTACAACACCGGTTCAAGAAGATAGCCCACCATCATCTTTTCCAGAGCACTGAGGATTGGACAATAAAGGCTGGCCCAGACAGATGTTAACGTTTAATAGTGAATGCAGTGGGATGTAACAAACAACTCTACAAGTTAAGTGATCCTAATTAACACGTTTATCAGCAATTATTTATATATATGTTAAGTGTATATTAATCAGTGAATATGTATTGACGAGTCTCATGGTCTTTCGCCCATTGGGGTCCCCACTTTATAACGGCTGGTCTGGAGAACTCCACGTTCCTGGCACCGTTCGCAATCCTATTCCAGTGTGAAGTCCAACAGCAAGTAACACGTGTTGACAACTGGTCTCACTGTCTTCTTACAATCGCAAATCCTGTTGGGCAAAGGCCCTGATATTAATACTGTTCGGAATCTAAGAGTACATGCTGTATCACCATTTCATTGTACTTTCCAGACATTCCTTTATACAGAAAAACACCTCCAGGTCGCTCTGTATGATAGCCCAGCAGGACAGTTCTCAGGGACAGTTTAGTGTCAAATGGTTACCTCTCAGTCAAAAACGGGCTGTTTTTGCATTAGGCCGTACTTTTCCACTTTATTTTGTTGTCATGTCTAGTTAACCCATGATTAATCCTTAATGGTCTGATTTGAAGTTAGCATTTTTAATCTCTCCGCTACACCAGTGACATCTACATCCTGCGAATGGATTTTAAAAATAAGGTTGCCTGCTTATTGCTAAAGAGTTGTTTGTGGAAGCTTGCTGTGCTTACATCGCCAGCTATACTTCATCTGTTATGGTAGTGACTACACTTCAAGAATACTGAACTGGTTGCAGGAGCTTTGGGGCAGCCAAAAGTTCTTTAAAGTCCTGTATAAATACAGTTTTCCTTCACTTACTGAACCATAATAAGAGAATAGTCAGTCCTTTGCTGCAGTTCATTGTGTTTTTTACATTTCAGTGGGGTAAATTCTGCTGTCCTACATTATGGACATGCTGGAGCTCCAAATGAGAAGACCGTTCAGGATGGAGACATGTGGTAAGAACTGTTTAATTTCTTCTTCTTTTCCCCTTGACTCTGCACTTTGTATCCTAAAGCTGTAACCTCTTCCTTGGTATGGATGAGCTTAGCAGCTGTATCCTTTGCAAATATTGTCCAGAATGTGGTGTCCTGAAGACAAGCCTTATATTCCCCTCACTCGACAGGGGTATGCACGCTTAGGACGAGGATCCAAACACATTTATACTAAACCTTTCATCATTGGACCCCAACTCAAACCAGAACACACTGTGAGAGTCAGGGATGGAGCTGAGGCTTTCGCAACCTTTAAGTCAATGTTTGGTTCGTTCACTCTGTGTTTTGAAAAAAAAAATTGACTCACACATCTCCTTTAAATTTTACCCCTCCCACCCTAAACCTATGCTGCGAAGTTTTCAACATTTCCATACTGGGAAAAGGACTCCGACTATCCGCCTGTCCATGCCTCTCATAATTTTATATAATTCTATCAAATTAACCCTCAGCCTCTGACACTGTAGTGAAAACAATCCAAGTTTGTCCAACCTTCCCTATAGCTAATCCAGACAACATCCTAGTAAACCTCTTTTGCACCCTCTCCAAAGCCTCCACATCTAACCTGCATGGTGGTGACCAGAATTGCACATAATACTCCAAATATGGCCTAACTAATGTGTTATACAGCTGCAACATGACTTGTCCTGACTGATGAAGACAAGCAAGCTGTATGCCTTCTTTGCCACCTTATCCATTTGTGTTACCACTTTCAGGGAGCTAAGGACTTAGAGTCATACAGCATGGAAACAGACCCTTTGGCCCAACTTGTCCATGCCAATCAAGTTTCCCAAACTAAACTAGACCTACTTGCCTGCATTTGGCCCATATCTCTCTTAAACCTTTACTATTCACCCAAGATCCATTTGTATATCAATGCCCCTCAGGGTCTGGCCATTTACAGTTTGCTTTCTTGTTGCATTTGACCTCCTAAAATGCATCACCTCATGCTTGTGCAGATTAAATTCCATCTGCCATTTTTACCCCTAATTTCAACTGATCTATATCCTTCTGTATCCTTTGACAACCTTCCTCACTGTCCACAACTCCACCAATTTCATGTCATCTGTAAACTTACTGATCAGACCACCGATGTTTTCATTCAAATCACTTACAAAAATTACAAACAACAGAGTTCCCAGCACTGATCCTGTGGAACAACAGTGGCCACAGACCTCCAGTCAGAAAAGCACCCTTCCACAACATTTCTGAAGAAGGGTCCAGACCCGAAACGTCAGCTTTCCTGCTCCTCTGATGTTGCTTGGCCTGCTGTGTTCATCCAGCTCTACATCTTCCACAACTACCCTCTGTTTTCTATGACCAAACCATTTTTTTATTCAATTTACCAACTCACCATGGATCCCATATGAGCTTGTCTTTGATATTCCTATATTGGCAATCATCTGCAAAGTGGTATGAATCATTTATGGAGGAGTCAATGATTTCTGCTAATTTTGATAGCTTCAATTAAACTTTGTTTAGTCTGTATTGGAGTTTCTTTGTGAACTGAAATAGGAAATGAAGACTTTAATTACATCACTGTACATTGCAGTTTGTCCTGCAATACCTTGCCTGGTGAGAATGATGTTAGCACTACCACCGTCATGAATGCTGATAACTGATCTGGTCCTTGCCTGGATTCTCATTGAGATCTCCCACAATCCAGTATCTGCTGAACCCATCAGCACCAACCTCCTGATTAGACAGCAAGGTGCAGGGCTGGATGAACACAGCAGGCCAAGCAGCATCATAGGAGCAGAGAGGCTGACGTTTCGGGCCTAGACCCTTCATCAGAAAAGGGGGAGGGGAAGGGGGTTTTGAAATAAATAGGGAGAGAGTGGGAGGCGGATAGAAGAGGGATAGAGGAGAGGATAGGTGGAGAGGAAACAAACAGGTCGAAGAGGCGGGGATGGGGCCAGGAAAGGTGAGTGTAGGTAGGGAGTTAGGAAGGGGATAGGTCAGTCCAGGGAGGACGGACAGGTCAAGGGGGCGGGATGAGGTTGGTCGGTAGGAGATGGAGGTGCGGCTTGAGGTGGGAGGAGGGGATAGGTGGGAGGAAGAACAGGTTAGGGAGGCAGGGACGAGCTGGACTGGTTTTGGGATGCGGTGGGGGGAGGGGAGATTTTGAAACTTGTGAAATCCACATTGATACCATTGGGCTGCAGGGTTCCCAAGCGGAATATGAGTTGCTGTTCCTGCAACCTTCGGGTGGCATCGTTGTGGCACTGCAGGAGGCCCAGGATGGACATGTCGTCTGAGGAATGGGAGGGGGAGTTGAAATGGTTCGCGACTGGGAGGTGCAGTTGTTTGTTGCGAGCCCTGCACCTTGTTGTCTCGGATTCTCCAGCATCTGCAGTTCCTACTATTCCTGATTAGACAGCCTGGCCAGGGCCCTCCACATCTTCCTGAGAGTTTGGTAAAGTTAAGGCTTTTCCAATGTTGAGGTACTCTGGTGTAGTTTATGATGACTGAAATATTCCTGTACTTCCCACCTATTCCTGCTGTTATGCTGGTGTCCTCTCTTAGATGTTTATTCTTTGCTGTGATTTCCGAGTTAGGGAAACTTCGTACTCCCTCTGGTTGGTTGATTTCTTCTACTTGCTGAGCAGCGCATGGATGTCCTTCCTCACTTGTTAGCTTTCCTGTTCCAAGGTTTGATACCGAGATCATCCCTTAAAGCCTGCTACTCGCTGGCCCCTACCACCATCCAGCTTCATACCTTGTATTTTCCCCAGTTCTGGGTTCAGATCACTGGGCCAGCCACTTGGTTTACTGTCACCATTTTACAGGCCTGACCACTGTTGCTATCATGTAGTAATGCATGATCTAACCTTAAAGTAATTGCAACAGGCTTTGTTGAAAATATCTATAAACAGATGAAGATACGAGAGGACAACCTACCTGGAGCCCAGCAGACACTGGCTCCAATTCCATCTGATCTGTTCTCCTGATGACCCAGCTCCTTATGCCCAATAACTATAGGAGCTAACTTTTACCACAGTAGAAGTTGGTTCATCCCCATTTCCTTTAGAAGTGACTGAACATTGTGATGGCATAGTTTGATTGGCATTGCATCCACAAACTCCCTCCACCACTGATGCTCAGTAGCAGCAGAGCGTACCATTTACAAGATGCACTGCAGAAATGCAGCAGATACATGGGAACACCACCCCCTGCAAGTTCCCCTCCAAGCCACTCACCATCCTGACTTGGAAATATATCACTGTTCGTTCACTGTCGCTGGGTCAAAATCCTGGAATTGCCTCCCTAAGAGCATTGTGGGTCAACCTACAGCTCGTAGACACAGCAGTTCAAGAAGGCAGCTGACCACCACCTTCTCACAGGCAACTACAGCTGGGCAATAAATGCTGGCCCATCCAGCAAATCCCACACCCCAGGAATGAATAAAAGAAAATGTGTTAGACACACTGTTATCCCAAAAACCACTTACTCGCCTAACATCAGTCCCAGACCTCTGTATAAATTTATATTTTGTTTACACTGACCGCTTTAATGTTCTTTGCTAGATAATCATTTCACAGCTCATTTATTCATTGCTCCCCACCCCCAGCCTCGTGGATTTCTCTTGTATTTGTTAATTGTCCCTATGGGCAACAGTATCCTCTGGTTAACTTTAACGAATCTTTTTGCAATCTTGAAACTTCAATTGTTTCATCGCCACAACTCATTCCAAAGAAAACAGTCCAAGTTCCTGTTTGTCTGTAAAATATAGACTTGTATCGTGCTAAATTAACTTTTCTCTAACTTTACACTGGGTGTCTAAGGTAAAAATGCAGGTTTTGAGGGAACCCAGTTTAGTGATTCCATAACAAGGAAAGGACATGAGTTCAAATCCCAACAAAGCAGTTCAACACAAAATCCAGAAATTAAAAATCTGATGTTAATAAGTGTGACTGCTGAGATGTTGAATTTTCATGAAAACCCAGTTGCTCCTCGAGGGAGGGAAGTCTATCGTCCTTCCCCACTCTGGGCCCATGTATGACTCCATTCCCACATGGCTGACCCATGACAGCTCTGAGAGTGGCCTAGCAAGCAGTCCGTTGTTTTAATCAGTTGTTACATGCCTTATTTCACAAGGTGACCCACAGGGTAATTACCAACAGGCAATTCTCATATCCTGAGAATGAGAAATGTTTGAAAAAAGCACACAGAATGTGCCAGGACGTGCAGATATCTGGATATCAGATACAAATAGAATTTGTGTTTGGCATGAGACCTTTCTAACCATTTTAGAATACACACAAGGAGTGCTGGGCCCTTGCTGTGTCAAAGCCAAAGATAAGCCTTTGAGGACTGCACCGTTTCTAGTGGCTAAGTGACACACAGAGGCAAAGAGAGCTTTCACATCATAAGATCATAAGATCATAAGACACAGGATCAGAAGTTGGCCATTCCATCTATTCAGTCTGTTTCACATTCAATGAGATTGTGACTAGTCTGCTACTCTTCAACTCCACTCTCCTACCTTTTCCCATTGTCCTTGATTCCTTTACTGATTAAAAGTCTGCCTATCTCAGCCTTGAATATACTTAATGATCTAACCTTGACAGCCTTTTGCAGTAAAGAATTCTATAGATTCATTATCACGGTCCTCTGAGAGAAGAAATTCCTCCTCATCAGTGTCTTAAATGGTTTACCATTTATTAAAGACTATCCTCTCTGGTTCTAGACTCTTCCACAAGGGGAAACAGCGTTTCCACATCTACTCTGTCAAGTCCCTTAAGGATCTTGTATGTTTCAAGAGGGTCACCTTTCATAAACACCAATGAGTACAGGCCCAGCCTACACAACCTCTCCTCATAAGACAGTCCCTCCATACCCAGGATCAGCCGAGTGAATCTTCTCTGGACTGTCTCCAATGTCAGTCCATGTTTCCTTACATAAGGAGCCCAAAACTGTTCACGGTTTTCCAGCTGTGGTCTGACTAGTACCATGTGTAGTTTTAG